CAGAGAAACCCTGTCTCAAAAAAAAAAAAAAAAAAAAAAAAAAAGGTCTTACGAGAACTCACTGGCTATTTTCTGAAGGCCAGAAATTGATACAATAGAAAAGAACTTCCCTGACTTCATTGGAAATGTTGGCATTTTGGAATCACAAATGTTAGTGTTTAATGACCCAGTTCAAGCCTTTCTTTGATCATGTCAGTGACTAAGTTCAAGCCCCTTGCATTGAAATAGTTCAAGGTCCTACTAGATTTTTATAATTAAAAAAAATTTTAGATCTGGGATGTAAAAGGTCACTCTGAGCCACTGTAACCCGGATCCACTCTCCTCATCAAGTGCTGTGACCTGAGGCATTTCCAGTCCTGGAAGGAGAAAAAAGCCACTTTTGAAGAAGAAACATGCAGCAACATGAAAGCAGCCGCTGTATATCCGTCCCACAACATCCTTCTCCAATGGGAAGAACTGGATGGGAGCTTTGGCCATCTGTAACTAATGCATCAGAGAAAGGAAACGGCAATATTCTGCCTTTTAGATGTTTACTGAAAATGCCTCTCCACTCTTAATTCCTGGAGACTCATCCAGTGATAACACAATGTATTTATTTTATTTTTATTTGTGTGGGTGTGCATGTGTGTGTGCATGTGCATGTGTATGTGTGTGTGTAGTACAGCTACATATATACCACAGACCATGAAGGAGGTCAAAGGACAACTACAGTTAGTCTGTTCTCCCTCCTATAGGTCCTAGGGATCAAACTGAGGTTGTTAAACTTTCACAGCAAGTACTTTTACTGCTGAGCCATCTCACTGGTCTGTGCACCATACAATTAATAACTGACGCTAGTAATATCCAATATGTTCAGCTGCCAAAGGTAACTCTGAAGCTGCGGTGTGATGATTTTTATGGGGTCTTAATGTATAGTTAGAATACGTCTATATAGTACTTGGCTGGTTCTCACATTACATATCTCCTTGAGCTGTGGAGAATTATTGTAGAAATATCAAGCAAATCTCTCAGATTCCCATGACTAATACCAACCCTTGCTCTACCATCAATGACTTGAACCACAGATGTAGCACATCTTTCATCCCTGTTCAACTTGCCTCTTTAGAGTGCCCCAGGCAAATGCATCTGACAGGACAGCAGTACATGAGAAGCAGAAGCCAGCATTCAACCGTACCTACTGTTCTAGAGGTAGCCATTTCAATCGAACAAACATACATGGCCTGCACTTGGTGATATACAGCCACTAATAAAGAAAAAATGCTTTTATGTTTAACCACTATACAGGCACCAAACCTCCTGCTTTCTCCCAGTGGGCGTGGTAATACATTTCCATCACTATTCTTGGTCACACCAACCTTCAGGACCTGTGCTGGAATTGATCCTTTGAGGAAACCCTACATAATCAATCTCATCTGTCAGTTTTCCAAGAGAAGTGTTACCCAATGGATGGAAACAGTCCTGTATCCTTCCAGCAGGTGCTAAAATACCTTACAGTTCTTTCTCTCAGCCTTTGTGTTGACTGCTTGCAGGTCAGTCTCCTTGACTCAGTGTGGCTTCAGGAGGGGTGGCAGCGCAAGTCAGGAGTAGCTGTGCAGGAAGTAAGAACCACTTGTTTACAAAACTACAAAACGTGTATGTGACCAAAAATTTTTAAAAAATTAAAGAAAAATGCTATTATAGATGTTGTAGTAAAATAATGTGCAGAAAAGGAAGGGAGAAGAATTCAAAATGAAGTCAGGACTTACGACATTAGTTTCTGAGGACATGGTGATGTGGAGGGATATGCTGGCAGCATCTCCAGAAGTCTGTTAAAACCACTAATTTTGTATTCTTCCCACTGAAAAGAAAATAAAAGTGTTCTGGACATCTGAAGATTTTGAAAGTGGCTTTTCTTTTCTTTCTTTCTTTTTTTTTTCTTTTTTGGTTTTTCAAGACAGCGTTTCTCTGTGTAGTCCTGGCTGTTCTGGAACTCACTCTGTAGACCAGGCTGGCCTCAAACTCATAAATCTGCCTGCCTCTGCCTCCCAAATGCTGGGATTAAAGGCGTGCGCCACCACTGCCTGGCAAAAGTAGCTTTTCTATATTTATATGCTACTGTGCTGCAACTTTAAAGACAGCCTAATCAACAGGAATTTCCTACTGCTAGGAACCACAGTTCCACCAGCTTTGTTTCCAACCTTTATGACTCATCAGGGCAAACTGTAACTCAGATATACAGGATGAGTGGGTAAGGGTGCTAAACTGAGCCCACAGCAAGTGATAATACAAAAATCTCTCGGAAGCCCCTAAGGTTTTGGATAAAAGCCATGCCCTTTTCAGCAAGTAATTGTTCCCCTCATGAAGAACACCTTGCTATAGAAGTTTGATAAAGACCAGCAGTCAGGTCATGGGACACCAGCTGACCATCATGAGTGGGTTACCTCAGCTGCCTCATCACTAACTGAGTGTACTCTGTTGTGTATTAATCTTAAAGGGAAGAGTTTATCTACAGGCCAAAGTACAAACTCCTTCTGGAAGCACATTTTGTAGTTTTGTAAACAAGTGGTTCATATTCCCTGTACAGCTACTTCCGCCACCCCTACTTAAGCGACACTAAACCAAGGAGACTGACCTGCAAGCAGTCAACACAAAAGCTTAGAGAAGGCATCATAAGATATTCTAGAACATCCTGGAAGGATACTGGAATGTTCCACACCCATTGGGTAATACTTTTCTTAGAAAGAAAAGAAGGAAAACCTTGTGAGTAAAATCTAAAGATCTCTTTAGCCTACTTGCATGTCAACAGTGGTGGTGCTGACTTCTAATCAGTCAAGATTTATTGGAATGTGCTGGTGGTTTGATCTGATATTAGACTATTTGTGAAGAATGAGATCAGAGGTTTGTGGGTAAGGTTTGGAGAAAGGACATAACTCAGCATAGACTCAGATGGTGAAAATACCTAAGACCTAGATCAACCCTTACCAAAAGACCTCAGTAGGGAGGTAGACCAGATGGCAGGACCTTCTCCCATTGTATCCCAGTGTTCGCTGAGTGCTGCATAAGCAACACACAACATTTACAGGAAATGAAATACATACTGATTCAACACAAACTTATAATAAAGCTGTCTTGCAGCTACCCAGCCAATCACAATTTGTAACACAGAAAACAACATTACCTCCTAGATGAACAAGGAGACACCTGGGAGGCAGCTGACTCCACAGGGTACCATTGCTCACAAAGCTGGATGTGATTTGCTTACTGGCCCAGTGAGTTGATATAAATCTTTATTCTCTTCTCTGGCCTGCCATGCTTCTACAGTGTTGTCCAGCTGAATGCTTTGATCACTACTGTCACTATCACTACTATCTCTTTCAGAATGTTGCTCCTGGTTAGGAACTAACTTTGTTATAATGCAAAGGTTTCTCACACTTCTTTTCTTCTTTAAGGAGAGAATTCAATGGAGGACCCCAGATACTTTTAAATAAAAGTTTATTTAGAAAATCAAAGTCCACTCCAGAGAAAGATTGAAAGGGAGAGGAAGCATGGATAGCAGCACACTGAGATCCCTTTCTAGATTTTTAAGTTTCAATGAATACTTTTAAGACTAGCAGCATATTCATGGGATAAGGTGACCCCTTTCTTCCTTCCCAAATCATGAAGTATTGGGGTCTCCCTTTAAGGATATTTCTGAATCTCTTGACAGCCCAGGGTGGGGGAGGCAAGACCACTGTGCAGGCAATCATATAAGTAAGCTTGAATCTTTTGAAGATTCAGACTTTTTTTTCTTTTTGATTTCTTTTTGTCTTCCTATTTTTTTCCTTTTATTAAAAATAGGATTTTTAATAAAATCCTAAAAGATTTTATTAAAAAACTTTCAAAAACTAACACATTGGAACAGAACAGAACAAACAGAGGAAAAAAACCCAAGAGAATGCACAAGAATAGAGACCCACTTATTTGAACACTCAAGAATCCCATAGAAACACAAAACTGGACATCATAATATATACTCACAAAGATAAAAAGAGAGAGGAAGAAAAACATATAAGTGAAATACCGATAAAATTAAAAGAGAAAAAGGTCTAACATAACATTATGAGACAAGGAACATCCAAAGATGACATTGAGTTCGTTTTCTGTTGGCCATCTATCTGGGCAAGCAGCCTACCTCCTTAAGAATAGTTTGTTTCCCCCAGTGAGACTCTTTTGGAGAAAAATATATTATCATTTGCAAGTGGTTGTCAATTGGAGATAGTTTCAGAGTGTCCTTTTTTTTTTTCCTTCCAGTTCTAGGAACTCAACTGGTGAAGACCCAGGCAGGCCTTGTGCATGCTGCCCCAGTTCCTGTGAGTTCATAAGTATGTCTGTCATGTTGATTTACAGGGCCTTGTTGTTTGCTCAGGGTCCTCCATCCCTCTGGCTCTTACACTTTCTGCCTCCTCTTCTGTAGGGTTCTCTGATCCTTGAGGGGAGCAATTTGATGGAGACAAATTCCTGTTTAGGGCTGAGTGTTTTAAGGTCTACATATTATACGGCTGTGGGTTTCAGTATTTGGCCCCAACTGCTACAAGGGAAAGCCTCTCTAAGGATGGCTAAGCAAGATACTGATCTGCTTTCATTCCCAGAGTCAATACAGGCTTTTCATTGATGTGCATGTGACTCAAGCAGGAAAGCCCTGTGGCGCCTGAGTTTTCTGATATAGCAGGAAGCACCTCACTGCAGTTGAAAGGCAGTTTTAACCTTAAGAGCATTCTGGCCATCAGGAGAAACCCAGCTCCAAGATACAAGTACAGATTCTTTGATTACTTCATGTCTAACTTCTTGTCTACCTGGCTTTAACTTTGTACCAAAACCACAAAGCAAATACAAGTTAACACACACATGTGATTGAGATATACTGTGTTGCCCTTGCCCGTATTCTCAGAAAGATCTGACCTTATTCTGATCAGTTATGGTGTCAGCAAACACATTTCATATTTGGGATTAAGTCGGAGGGGGTTACTGTATATGTTAAAAAGTGACGAAATGTTTGGTGTTATTTTTCTGCATGACCTTAAGACCTAAACAGTGAAAATGTCACTTTGGAATCAAGTGATTCCAAAAAGCAGGGAGAGCAGAGTCTGTTCTATCAGTGGTGGTGACAGTAACAGTATGAAGTGCATTTCCAGAAATGGGGCAGAAATGGGGCAGAAATGGTTGCATTCCCAGGGGGAGCAAACTGTGTCCCGTGTCAGTGTCAGTAGGAGCTGTGGCATTCTATTCTGTTGAATTTGATAAAAGCAAGCTTTGATTAACTATGAACTCAGAATCTTACCCAGATCAAGCACTAAGACTACGTAAGTCTTGTGCACTGAGGGCTGTATTTCCTCTTACTCTAGAGGACCTGGCTATAGGTGAAGTCAATAGACAGGGCAGCTAGGAACTACAAAGACCAGGAGGAGCCTTTGCTTCACCCCCTGATTAACTATGTTAGTAATAAAAACGTCTCAGTAATAAGAAAATGTCTCTTCAAATTCCTCTTATCAACTTGGTTTTCTGAACCATGCTTCCAAAACATACTCTTTTATATAACTATAATAGTCATCTTTTTATTTTTTTAAAGATGTATTTATTTTGATGTATGGTGTATTCTCTGTATGTGTGTTCTCTCTGTAATGCCTGAAGGGACCAAAAGAGGATGTCAGATTTGCTAGAACTAGAGTTATAGACGGTTGTGAGCTGTCTACATGTACAGTCACGCCTCTCTATAACCATGGTGTTAGCATATCAGCTAACTTATGGAACAGGAGTTTGACAAAATGTTTTTGTCTCTTGTGTGGCACTGCTGATAATTTCCTCCCTCCCAAGAATTATAATCATATCACTAACATAAGCTAACATTTATAACTAAACATTGCTAGAATCCTACCGTGGAAATTCTTTTCTAAATACATTTTGCTAAACATAAATATTGCCTCGCAGAGATGGCAGATTTTAAGACATTAATATTTACTCCTAAGTTGACCAGATAGCATCTATCTTCAACCTCACTGCCAAGTAAGCTTTTCACAAATGAATCCATTTGTAGACTATGTATGCCAGCAGTATACCATGATGAAATTGGATATTCCATTGAAAAATAGTGGATTTTACAGCTTGAAATGCTGTAATATTTTAGTTATTAGTCAATGGCTTTGATTGCTATTTAGGTTGATCATGTTTATGTTTTTGATAGCACTCGTAATCTTTGGGCAACCGTTCATCGCTTAGATCTTTTATGATTGGTCTATTAGTCAAGTGACTGGGGGAGTTTTCAACCTCTACCTCATTTATCCCAGCTTCAGTGTGAAAACCACAGCTTAGAGGGATGCTTGCCCTTGTATCATGCCCTTTCTACTGTAATGCTTAAATCAGCTCAAAGCCAGGGAGCTCATTCATGGCTGCAGAGCATAGACAGTGTGTTCAAAGGCTCCAGCAGACTGGTGGAATCAAAAGAGCAAAGCCACCAAGAAAGAGCTGTAATTAAAAGTGCTCTTCATGGGTCAAAAGTGCAGCTCATTAATGTTTTGCTGAGCAGATGGCATTAATGAACAGCCAAAGAGCCATGCTCGTTACCACCGCTCTCTCCATTATTCATTTGGTACAAATGGCCTGGTGGCCAGGAGACCCGGCCCTCCCAATGATTAGAATTGATAATTAACACAGTACCAGACTTCTACCGACATGCTAGGTAGGGTAAATAAAGGAAAATGTGTAAACCTTGAGCCTAAGAAGCATTCCCTCTTTATGAAGAAGAGATAACACACCTCAGCATCATTTACAATTATATAAACACTGGAAACTTCCAGTAATGTAGTAAATGGTTAACGAAATGAC